CCATTTCTCAGCCCCGCTGAAATGATATCTTTTTCTAGTTAGGTTTCCCCATCGATAAGGGATAAAAAGCCTATTTAAGTTTATAAATGTCTTATGTGGCAGTTTAATAAAAAGATGACAAAAAAATGACAATGTCAGATAATAGTCCGATATTAAAAATATATTTGTATAAATTAAAACACCGCGCGTTCCTTGAAAAGAACATGAAACAAAAACAATAGAAAACACAAGAATAAGACACGTGAAACAAAGACGGTTTGTGAAAAAAAAAAAATGATAATCGTCTAAGGATAAACTATAAACAAAAATACGCGTAAAATCGATGATAATTAATGACAAGAACAATGGATACAATAAGAACACGTAAGATGCTTTCTAACAGGCACAGACGGCAAAAGAAAGGTGGTAGTAAGAAGTACAAATGAAGAACACATAATAGTAAAAAATGACAAATAAAATGGTGCTGTAGCTGGAGAGGAACAATAAAAAGCGTCTAAGTGTCATAAATAACAAAGGAAACGGACTTAGTAGTCATGAATGACAAATGCAGCGGTGTATGTTAAAGGAATCTTTACAGCAGACACAAATGAGAAATCTTATAATTTAGGAGACACTAAAATAAAAGATTTAATACTGACAGAAAAAAGTGTGTCGGGGTCACACGAAAAAGATGAAAATGTAGAAGACTAAATGAAAACGAAATTATTAGACATAATTTACAAAAGAAAACATTTAGTAGATAGACAAGATAAAGGGAAGAAGTAAACATGGCATCGGAAACAATTTAGTCATCACGAATGACACAGAAACGTCAAATAAAGCGTTTTCTAAAGGAAATTACAAAAGAGAAGCGCTTCAGAAGACCAAAAGACAAAGGGATTGATTGGGCAGACACACGTGACACAGAAGACGATTTAGAAGAACGAAATGAAAAGGGAGACGACACTGTTGACAGAAAAGAAAGAGATCGACCGAGTACAAAAAATAATAAGGGAAACTGTTTATATAACATAAATGAACAAGAAAACGGTTTAAAATAAGAAACAAAACATTCCAGTATTCGGGAATAACAAAGGAATCGATTCAGGAGACAAAATTAACACAGAAAATTGATGAGAAAAGAAAGAGTTAAAAAAATAGAGAGAAATAAAACGTTAAGTTGACAGAAATTATAAGGGAACAGGATTAGTAGAAAGGAAATGGTTTAAAAGGCAAAAAAATAACAATGGAACATTCCAGTATAAAGAGATAACATAGAATCGGTTGAGTAGCGTAAAATCAGAAAGGAAACCGCGTGGTCGACACAAATGACAAAGGAAATGTATAAATAAAAGGTATTCGTTACGAATGTCAAAGGAAATCTCATATACAACACAGGCAAAGGTTAAATTTAGTAGCCAAAATGAAAATAGAATGTGTTTAATATAAAAAAATGACAAAAGAAACGATGAATGAGTCAGAAGACAAATGCTTCAGAGACCCAAAGTTCACAGGAACTGCTTCGCAAACAGAAACGTTAAAGAAAACGGTAAGTATAGAGAAAATATAAAGGAATCAGTTTAGTAATGTCGAAATGAATTAGAAAACATGGAAGCTAGGAGGATCATGTTTAGTTGAAAGGCATTACAAATGAAACGGTTTAGTAGATTAAATGTCAGATGAAATGGTTAAGTAGACAGAAACACACAAACTGTGTAGCAGAAGAATTCATTAAAAAGAAACAGTTGCGCCAACAAAACAAAGAAATGCTTTGATTAGACAGAAAGGATAACGGAATCAGTTTACAAAACAAAATGTCATAGAAAGGTTTTAAGGAACACAATGACAGATAAAAGAGTTTATGTAACTGGAATTACAAAAGAAACTGTATACTTGAAATAGGAAAGAACAGATTTTAGTAGACAATAACGACAAAAGATTGAGAAAAGAAAGTAAGAGAAAAGCTTTCGAAGATAAAAAAAAATTCTGAGGAGCGTTAATTTACTTGATACATATGACAAAGGAAACAGTTTAGTAATCAGAAATAAAATAAGATTCAGTTTTGTAGACGCAAATGACAAACGAAACAGCTTGGAAGACAGCCATGATAGATGAAGCAGTTTAGTAGAAGAAAAATGACAAACCATTTTGTTTGTCAGAAACAAATGTCAGTAAGAATATTTTAGCGTGTAATGACAAAGGAATCGATTCAAGCATCATAAATAGCAAAGCTCAATGTTTAGCAGACACAAAGCATACGAGAAATACTAGTATAAATTGACAAATGATCCGTTCAGACAACGCAAACGATAAAGGACAGTTTAGTAGACAAATGTAACATGTAGTAAATAGTATTGAAATAAGAAGCGGTTTAGGTAACACAAATGACAAAGACCACGGTATATTCGGCACAAGACAGTACACAATATTGACAAATTAATCAGTTTAGATATTCTAGTAGCATACCTACGGACGTTAATGGGCATGTCACCATTCACATAAATACAGTCGTAAATACTGTATGTTGGTCTGTAAGGGAGATTCGTCTCCAGCTGTGCTGGTCAAACTCTCCAGCTGCGAGAGAGGATCACCAGACGAGGTTATGTCGAAGGGCAGAGTCTCGTTTAGGGAAACAGCTACTGAAACCTATTTTATACGGGGTCTACGTGGCATTTTTGGCCAAACATACGGGCTCGGATACTTCATATTAAATTAGGCCTTATGTCACATCTGACCGAGTGCGACGGTTGGTGGATATTCTGCAGTTGGAGATTCATTGTGGAATTCTCTTGACTCACTTTTGGCAGTTCTATGCGCCGCTGGCGAATCTTACATGTGCTGTTGTTGTCCTAAGTATTAGCGTGAATTACCAAACTTTGTTTAATTATTCTATTCAGTAACATTTCCTAGGTTATATATATATATATATATATATAAGATAAACGTCACGGTTTAGTATAGAAAAGGCAAATGAAACACTGTATTAGATGGTAGTGACAAACGGATCGGTTTAGGCAACAAGAATGAACAAAGACATGGTTTAGTAGACTCGAAAGAAACAGGAAACACAATAGAAAATAGTGCTGACAAGGGTTCGTTTGCGCTAATACAAAAGAAAATGGTGGCGTATTAGAGAAACAATAGACGAAAAACACTAGAGTAAATAGTATTGACAAAGAAAAGGATTTAGCAAACACAAATGGCAAAGATTACATTTTACCGGAGACAATACATAAACACTATATTAGACACTATTAAAAAAAGAACATGTTCTGGCAAAACAAATGACAGATTAGTACACACAAGAAATTGGAGTAAATAAAAATCAGTTTAGGGAACACGATTGAGAAAGGTCATGGTTCAGTAAACATAAATAAATGTTTAGACATCTCACATGGTAGACGCAAATATATTTTTATACACAAACCATAAAGCAAACTGTCCAGTATAGAGCAATGGCAAATGAATCGTTTTAGTAGGTGAAAATAAAAAATGGTCATGTTTAGATCCCATATGAAAAAAAACATTTGACGGGTAATGTGAAAAAATGTGTTTACTAGAAAAAAGAAAGAACAGTATTGGCCTAAGAGACACAAATGACACAAGAAACAAGGGAGTAAACGGTCTCATCATTTTACAGTTGAAACGGCTAGAAAGAATCATAGGTTCTATGCCAACAGTTTCTTCCATCGGACTTCTTGATTGTGAATCTCTTTTCAGGCTTCTTGCTTATAAATGATCTTTGATTTTCAAAAATTAAAATACAGTGTCAACCGTTCAGTATCTGTCTATATTTCTGAGATGAGATATTATGTACGCTATTTACATTATCCGGACTATTGTCCTCATCTTTTTCTCCGTGCTTATCACAACGTTTCGGCCGTTGTACGCTCCGGCCTTCTTCAGATGGTTGAGGACCCATGGCACAGTGGATAAAGGCGTTAGTTAGATCCAGTAACAGGACCCAAAGAGTGTGAGTTCAATACCTGGTTAAGGCAGTAAAGAACATTCAGAGGGGAATTAACAGGAGATAACTAATACCCATTAGACATGGCTCATCGAACTAGAAGTGTCTGCGCCAGTGAGCAAAATAAGGGGCACAGTTCGACATTCTAAGCACCTGAAGAGGGCCGGAGCGTATAACGGCCGAAACGTTGTGATAAACATGGCGACAAAAAATAGGACAATAGTCCGAATAATGTAAATAGAGTGTCAACCGTTATTTTATAATTTCTTAAATTTGTTCTTTTGTTGCCCTCTTTCCATAATAGTATTTTTTTCTTATTTTCTCTAGCACTCAGTAACCCCTTGAATCCTAAGTTGCTTGTGGAGAAATAATTAAAAAAGGGGACGAAATTGAAAAACGAATACATTTAGACCACGAAAATTATAAAGACCACAGTATAATGGATACAAATGACAGCGACAAATGTCTTATCGAAGGGTCGACGGTGAATCAATTTAGAACAAAATGATTTATAATGTTTTAGAAGGAAAGATGATAAAAAAATAGTTTACAAGACTCACATGGCAAAGGAAATTGGGTTAAAAGTGATGGATAACTTGGGTAACGGTTTAGTAGACAGAAATGACAGCAGGAAGAGTTAACTAAAGAAATTAGTTTACAATAAATAAAGAGGGGGAGAAATAATTTAGTAGATAGAAATATCAAGGGCTTCGCCTGAGAATTCACTAATTACAAAGCAAATAGTTGTTTTTTTTGACAGAAATGTTAAAGAGATTTTTTTGTAGACAAAATGACAAAGTAGATTTTGCAAGGTACAAACTGACAAAATAAACAGTATAGAAAAGACAAATGAAAAAAATTTAGTAGAGAGAAATGATAACGGGAAATAGTTAACAATACACAAATGAGAGATAAATGTTTGAAAAGAAATGAAATGCAGATTAAATGGTAGACTCGACTCACCCCAAAATAAAGTGGAAAAATACAAGTAAAAGAAGAATCGGTATAAATTCCAGTGTGAAAAAGCGAACATTTTCGTAGACACCAAAAAAGGCTAACAGATTTGTACAGACACAAGACGGGGGAAACAGTTTCGTACAGACACAAGACGGAGGCAACAGATTTGTACAGATACAAGACGGAGGCAACATTTTTGTAGACACACATAACGGAGGCAACAATTTTGTAGATATACAAGACAGAGGTAACAGTTTCGCAGACACAAGACGGGGGAAACAGTTTTGTACAGACACAAGATGGAGGAAACAGTTTCGTACAGACACAAGACGGAGGCAACAGATTTGTACAGACAAAGACGGAGGCAACAGATTTGTAGACACACAAGACGAAGGCAACAATTTTGTAGATATACAAGACGGAGGTTACAGTTTCGCAGACACAAGACGGGAGAAACAGTTTTATAGAGACACAAGACGAGGGCAACAGTTTCGTACAGACACAAGACGGGGGAAACAGTCTCGTACAGACACAAGACGGGGGAAACAGTCTCGTACAGACACAAGACGGGGGAAACAGTCTCGTACAGACACAAGACGGGGGAAACAGTTTCGTACAGACACAGGACAGGGGAAACAGTTTCGTACAAACACAGGACAGGGGAAACAGACTCGTACAAACACAGGACGGGGGAAACAGTTTCGTAGAGACACAAAGCGGAGGCAACAGATTTGTACAGACACAAAACGGAGGCAACAGATTTGTACAGACACAAGACGGAGGCAACAGATTTGTACAGACACAAGACGGAGGCAACAGATTTGTACAGACACAAGACGGGAGAAACAGTTTCGTAGAGACATAAGACGGGAGAAACAGTTTCGTAGAGACACAAGACGGGAGAAACAGTTTCGTAGAGACACAAGACGGAGGCAAAAATTTTGTAGACACACAAGACGGAGGCAACAGTTTTGTAGATATAAAAGACGGGGGAAAACGTTTCGTAGACACACAAGACGGAGGCAACAGTTACGTAAATATAAAAGACAGGGAAAACGTTTCGTAAAGACACAAGACAGGGGAAACAGTTTCGTAAAAGACAAAGACACAAACAGTTTCGTAAAGACACAAGACAGGGGGGAAACAGTTTCGTAAAGACACAAGACAGGGGGAAACAGTTTCGTAAAGACACAAGACGGGGGAAACAGTTTCGTAAAGACACAAGACGGGGGAAACAGTTTCGTAAAGACACAAGACGGGGGAAACAGTTTCGTAAAGACACAAGACGGGGGAAACAGTCTCGTAAAGACACAAGACAGAAACAGTTTCGTAAAGACACAAGACGGGGGAAACAGTCTCGTACAGACACAAGACGGGGGAAACAGTCTCGTACAGACACAAGACGGGGGAAACAGTCTCGTACAGACACAAGACGGGGGAAACAGTCTCGTACAGACACAAGACGGGGGAAACAGTCTCGTATACAGACACAAGACAGGGGGAAACAGTCTCGTACAGACACAAGACGGGGGAAACAGTCTCGTACAGACACAAGACGGGGGAAACAGTCTGGTACAGACACAAGACGGGGGAAACCGTTTCCTAGAGACACAAGACGGAGGCAACAATTTTGTAGATATACAAGACAGAGGTAACAGTTTCGCAGACACAAGACGGGAGGAACAGTTTCGTACAGTCACAAGACGGGGGGAAACAGTTTCGCACAGACACAAGACGGGGGGAAACAGTTTCGCACAGACACAAGACGGGGGGAAACAGTTTCGTACAGGCACAAGACGGGGGGAAACAGTTTCGTACAGGCACAAGACGGGGGAAACAGTTTCGTAGAGACACACGACGGTGGCAACAATTTTATATACATACAAGACGGTGGCAACAATTTTGTAGATATACAAGATAGAGTTAACCGTTTCGCAGACACAAGACGGGAGAAACAGTTTCGGACAGACACAAGGCAGAGGCAACTGATTTGCACAGACACAAGACGGAGGCACACTGATTTGTAGACACACATGTCGCGGGAAACAGTTTCGTAGAGACACAAGACGGGGGATACAGTTTCGTAGAAACACAAGATGGAGGCAACAGTTTTGTAGATATACAAGACATAGGTAACAGTTTCGCAGACACAAGACGGAGGCAACATATTTGTACAGACACAAGACGGGAGAAACAGTTTCGTAGAGACACAAGACGGGAGAAACAGTTTCGTAGACACACAAGACGGAGGCAAAAATTTTGTAGACACACAAGACGGAGGCAACAGTTTTGTAGATATAAAAGACGGGGGAAAACGTTTCGTACAGACAAGACGGGGGAAACAGTTTCGTACAGACAAGACGGAGGAAACAGTTACGTAAAGACACAAGACGGGGGAAACAGTTTCGTAAAGACACAAGACGGGGGAAACAGTTTCGTAAAGACACAAGACGGGGGAAACAGTTTCCGAAAGACACAAGACGGGGGAAACAGTTTCCGAAAGACACAAGACGGGGGAAACAGTTTCCGAAAGACACAAGACAGGGGGGGAAACAGTTTCCGAAAGACACAAGACAGGGGGAAACCGTTTCCTAAAGACACAAGACAGGGGTGGGAAACAGTTTCATAGATACACAAGACAGAGGTAAACAGTTTCGTAAACACAAGACAGGAGGAAACAGTTTCGTACAGACAAAAGACGGGGGGGAAAAGTTTCGCACAGACACAAGACGGGGGGAAACAGTTTCGTACAGACACAAAACAGGGGGGAAACAGTTTCGTACAGACACAAGACAGGGGGGGAAACAGTTTCGTACAGACACAAGACGGGTGGGGGAAACAGTTTCGTACAGACAAAAAGACGGGGGGGAAAAAGTTTCGTACAGACACAAGACGGGGGGAAACAGTTTCGTACAGACACAAAACGGGGGGAAACAGTTTCGTACAGACACAAGACGGGGGAAACAGTTTCGTACAGGCACAAGACGGTGGGAAACAATTTTACAGACACAAGACGGTGGGGAAACAATTTCACAGACACAAGATAGAGGGGGAAACAGTTTCGTAAAGACACAAGACGGGGGGAAACAGTTTCGTAAGACACAAGACAGGGAAACAGTTTGTTGAGAGACACACGACGGTGGCAACAATTTTATACATACAAGACGGTGGCAACAATTTTTGTAGATATACAAGATAGAGGTAACCGTTTCGTAAAGACACAAGACAGGATACAGTTTCGGACAGACACAAGATGGAGGCAATAGTTTTGTAGATATACAAGACAGAGGCAACAGATTTCGTACAGACAAGACAGAAACAGTTTCCTAGACACACAAGACAGAGGGAAACAATTTTGTTGACACAAGACAGGGGATAACAGTTTCGTAGAGACACAAGACAGGGGATACAGTTTCGTAGAAACACAAGACAGAGGCAATAGTTTCATAGATACACAAGACAGAGGGGTAACAGTTTCGTACAGACACAAGACAGGGGATACAGTTTTGTACAGACACAAGACGGAGGCAACAGTTTGTGTACAGACACAAGACAGGGGCAACAATTTTGTACAGATACAAGACGGAGGTTACAGATTCGCAGACACAAGACGGGAGAAACAGTTTTGTAGACACACAAAAACGAAGGCAAAAATTTTGTAGATATACAAGACGGAGGTTACAGTTTCGCACAGACACAAGACGGGAGAAACAGTTTTGTACACACACAAGACGGAGGCAAAAAGTTTCGTACAGACACAAGACAGAGGTACCAGTTTCGTACAGACACAAGACGGGGGAAACAGTCTCGTACAGACACAAGACGGGGGAAACAGTCTCGTACAGACACAAGACGGGGGAAACAGTTTCGTAGAGACACACGACGGTGGCAACAATTTTGTAGATATACAAGACGGTGGCAACAATTTTGTAGATATACAAGATAGAGGTAACAGTTTCGCAGACACAAGACCGTAGAAACAGTTTCGGACAGACACACGGCGGGGGAAACCGCTTCGTACAGACACAAGGCCGAGGCAACTGATTTGTACAGGCACAAGACGGAGGCAACTGATTTGTACAGACACAAGATGGAGGCAACAGATTTGTAGACACCCAAGACGGAGGCAACAGATTTGTAGACACCCAAGACGGAGGCACAATTTTGTAGATATACAAGACGCGGGAAACAGTTTCGCACAGAGAAGACGACAGAAACAGTTTCGCACAGAGACAAGACGGGGGAAACAGTTTCGCACAGAGACAAGACGGGGGAAACAGTTTCGCACAGAGACAAGACGGGGGAAACAGTTTCGCACAGAGACAAGACGGGGAAAACAGTTTCGCACCGACACAATACGGGGGAAACAGTTTCGTACAGACACAAGACGGGGGGAAACAGTTTTGTAGATATACAAGACAGAGGTAAGAGTTTCGCAGACACAAGACGGGAGAAACAGTTTCGGACAGAGACAAGACGGGGGAAACCGCTTCGTACAGACACAAGGCGGAGGCAACTGATTTGTACAGACACAAGACGGAGGCAACAGATCTGTACAGACACAAGACGGAGGCAACAGATCTGTACAGACACAAGACGGAGGCAACAGATCTGTACAGACACAAGACGGAGGCAACAGATTTGTTCAGACACAAGACGGAGGCAACAGATTTGTAGACACACAAGTCGGAGGCAACAGATTTGTAGACACACAAGACGGAGGCAACAGATTTGTAGACACACAAGAAGGATGCAACAATTTTGTAGATATACAAGACGCGGGAAACAGTTGCGTAAAGACACAAGATGGGGAAACAGTTTCGTAAAGACACAAGACGGGGGAAACAGTTTCGTAAAGACACAAGACGGGGGAAACAGTTTCGTAAATACACAAGACGGGGGAAACAGTTTCGTAAATACACAAGACGGGGGAAACAGTTTCGTACAGACACAAGACGGGGGAAACAGTTTCGTACAGACCCAAGACGGGGGAAACAGTTTCTTAAAGACACAAGACGGAGGCAACAGATTTGTAGAGACACAAGACGGGGTCAACGGTTTTGTATAGTCGAATAGCAAAGAAATAGATTTTCTATGTATACAGGACACAGGGATATTGTGTTAGAGAATAATGATATGAAAAGATTTTCATCATGGATAAGCTGAAATGGATAAAAATAACTAAGGAAACTTCCTGCAAAACAAATAAGAAAGGGAGAAATTTAATGAGAGAAAAGTGTCAATCACAATTGACAAGAAATTGTGTAGTAGACAAAAATCACATGATAAGGTTTCAGTAGACATAGCCGACAATGGCATCGGTATATAAAACACATTGACATAATGGATTACAAGATAGAAATGAAAATGAAGCAGTTTAGCAGTCAGAAGTTACGTAAGGTGAGAAATGAAAGAAACTGTGATATTTAACAAAGGCAACGTTTAAGTAGAAAAACAACAATGAAACCTTTGGGTAAAGAATACGACAAAGAAAATGTTCCAAGTTGGAAATGAGAGAAAAAAGTTTTATCAACAAACTATAAATGAATTGACTTACAAAACAACTAACACATCAAATAGTTTAGTAGGCAGAAATGACAATGGAATCGGTATGGAAATCGTAAATGATAGAAAAAATATTTTTAGACAGAGATGAGATGGCAATCTTTTTAGCCAACTCACAAAACCGAGGAAAGATGTCCCTGGAAAAAAAATGTCAGTGGGCAAATTTTATTAGTGAGAAATAAAAACACGGGATAACGAAAACAGTTTAGAAAACTCACATGACAAAGTATCCGGGTGAGAAACAGATTACAGCAGATAATGTTTACTAGACAAAAATTAGAGTTTAGTAGAGAGAAAGGACAAATGAATTGGATCGAACAACAGGAGAAAAGCTTAGTAGGCATAACAGGCAAACTAATCGTTCTAGTAGACAACAATGACAATGGAAACAGTTTGCAATGCACAAATAATTAAACAACCGACAAAAATCAATTTACTAGACATAAATGTTAAACGAATCGGTTTACAGGTCACAAATGACAAAGAAACAGTTCAGAAGACTAACATCGCAATAGAAAAATATTAGTAGAAATGATAAATGAATCTGTCTAAATGATACCCGTTAATGTGAAGGAGTATTTTGATACAGAGAAAAAACAAAAATCAAAAGGAATGATTTAGTAGGCATAAATGACAATGGGAATGGTTTTCTAGACAGTGATATCTGAGGAAAAGCTACCTTAGGCATTTAAAAAGAATCCGTCCATAAAGGATAAATAAAAAAGAGAACGAGATAGTAGATAGAAAATTATAAATGGAATTGTTTACCAGGCGAAAATAACAGAGGAAAGGTATAGAAGACACAAATTACAATGGAAACAAATTAGTACACAGAAATGAAAATGGAAGCGAATGTCAATAAAAAGCTTTAGTGTTCGAAAATGCAAAAAGGAAAAGATGAACAAAGCATGTTTTCTAACAGAAAATACGTACGAGTCGCAAATAACAAAAGAGATAACATGGTAGTCGCAAAGGACAAAGGAAACAATTTAGAAGGATCGAATGGAAAATGAATCAGTGCAGTAAACAAAATGACAATGCAAATGATTTAGCATTGCAAATTGAAAAAGGAACCGATGTGATAGTCTTCGCGGATAAAAGATTTCATAGAGTAAAATTAAAAGGAAATGATTTTGCAGAGAGCAAAAACGTAAAGAAATCGGTTAGGTAATGTCAAATGACAAATGAAACCGGTGAGAAGTAAAAAAAAAAAAAGTAACGGTTTAGTAGGTGGAAATGACAAATGAACACTGGAGTAGATATAGATAACAAAGGAATCGGTCTAGATGTCAATCAAGAGATAATCAATAGTAGAAATACATGAAAAAGGAATTGGTTTTCAGAGCACAAATGACAAAAGTAATGTTTTAAACAAAGCATTTGACATTGGAAAAGGTTTAGTATGCAAAATGACACGAGAACAGTTGACAGGACACAAATGACACGTGAAACAGTTGACAGGACACACATGACACGTGAAACAGTTGACAGGACACATATGACGCGTGAAACAGTTGACAGGACACATATGACGCGTGAAACAGTTGACAGGACACACATGACGCGTGAAACAGTTGACAGGACACACATGACGCGAGAAACAGATGAGAGGACACAAATGACGCGAGAAACAGATGAGAGGACACAAATGACGCGAGAAACAGATGAGAGGACACAAATGACGCGAGAAACAGAGGAAATGAGAAAGAGAGAACAAGACACGCATGTCATGAGAAAGAGTGGACAAGACAGAAGAGAGAAAGCAGAAACGAAACATTTCAGAATATAAAATAATAGAGTAAACAGATTAAAAAAGACAACAATGTGAGCATTTGGAAGATATAAAAAGTTCACAACAGTTTAGGTGAGTGAATTATCAAAAGAATGGGTTGTATTTGTAGAAGAATTTTCTAAGAGTAACATGTCAAAGGAATCTGCGTATTAACAGATAAGAGCCGAGGAGACATTTTAGTAGACAGAAATTCCGTAAAGAGGGAGAAATATCAGGAGAAAACAGTTTGCAAACACAAATGAAAGGAGAAAGCAGTTGGTAAGACAAAAACGACAGCGGAAAAGTTTAAGACAAATTGACAAGAATCTGAAGTATAGAAGAAGCGCCTCACAGCGGTGACAATTTAGAAGAGGCGAGTAAGTCAGCAAACAATGAATTAGATGCTCGTGACACTGCAGCCAGATACACATGAAACGAGAGAGAGAGATGTGTACATATACACATAGGAAGAGAGAGGTTAGGAGACACAAGTGACAGCGATATCATTTGAGTATCTACACATGACAGTGGCAAAATCACAAATGATGGAGGACACATTTCGAATTCACAAATGACCGAGGAATCATCTTATATGACGCAAGTTTCGCATATTGTTAAGTGGACGCATGGACACAAATATTGACAGAGGAAACGGTAGACAACCACAGTGTTAACAAAAATGGCAGATGAATATGTAGAAACAGCTGACACAAATCAAAGATGAAAATGGAGCAAAAAATGACAGAATAAGCAGAAAAATAACATAAGAAACAAATAACAGGGTAAAAAAAGATTCGACACAAATGACAGAAAAACAAACAAACAGGAGGCACAAATGACCGGAAAAACAAACAAACAGGAGGCACAAATGACTGGAAAAACAAACAAACAGGAGGCACAAATGACAGAAAAAAACAAACAGGACGCAACCGAAGATACACACACACACACACACACGCACACACACAAATAACAGGCGAAACCAAACAAACACACACGCAAATGACAGGCCAAACCGAAGACACACACACGCAAATGACAGGCCAAACCGAAGACACACACGAAAATGACAGGCCAAACCGAACACACACACACACGCAAATGACAGGCCAAACCGAACACACACACACGCAAATGACAGGCCAAACCAGTGACACACACACGCAAAATGACAGGCCAAACCCAAGACACACACACGCAAATGACAGGCCAAACCGAAGACACACACACGCAAATGACAGGCCAAACCGAAGACACACACACGCAAATGACAGGCCAAACCGAAGACACACACACGCAAATGACAGGCCAAACCGAAGACACACACAAAATGACAGGCAAATGAACACACACACACACACGGACAAGCCAAAACACACACGGACAGGGGAAAAATGGGAGGTGAGTGAAATGATAACGGGAAGATAGTGGTAGATGCGCATGAAAGGGGAAAAATGGTAATAGATAAAATGATATAGGAAATAGAAGATATAAATGGCAGAGGGAAAAAAAGAGTAGAAAAATGACAAAAGAATCAGAGAGTAGAAAAAATAACAAAAGAAACTGAGTAGACACAAATGACAGAAAAACAAACGGTAGACACAAATGACAAAAAAAAAAAAACAGTAGAAAAATGATGGCAGAAACACCAGACACAAATACTAAGAATCAGTAAACAAAACTGACAGATAAGACAAGATAGTAGATAGAAAAATGACAGGAGAAAATGCAGAAAGAGAAATGACAGGGTAAACCGGATACATAGAAATGACAAATGAAAACGAAGACATAGAAAAAATAACAGACGAAAAAGAAACAATGTCAGAAGAAAAATACAGTAGAAACAAAGGACAGTGGGAAAGATGGACAGGTACAAGACGCACATGTCAGCAGAGACTGGTAGGGGACGCACATGTCAACAGAGACAGGTAGGGGACACACGAGTCAGAGGAAAGAGATACTAATGACAAATATCAAGGGAAACAGATACTAGAAAAAATATCAGAGGTAATACATAGGGGTGACAAAGAGTAGGCACTAAAGATGGTGGAATTGGTAGACGCAAATGAAGTAGGAAAAAGAACTTCCAGAGGGCGGGAATAACTAGGCTTAAATGAGAGCGGAAACACTAGACGTAAACGACGGAAGAAACACTAGACAAAAATGACAGAGCAATCTGCAGATTCAAATGAGAGGAGAAACTGTAGAAACAAATGACAAAAGTAGAATTAGAATCAAATGACAATACCGATTAAGTACATGTCAGAGGAAACCGATTAACTAAATGACAGAGGAAACAGTACAAACAAATGAGACAGGAAACACATACAATTGAAGATTCAGTAGACAAAAATGAGAGAAGAATCACTGTAGGAAACAGTAAATGTGACATGAATTTAGTTTAGAGTGTAATCAACTTACAAAGAGAATGTAGCCACAAATTACGTAAGAATCAGAGAGTGGGCCACATATGACACAAGAAACAGAGAGTGGGCCACACATGACGCAAGAAACAGAGAGTGGGTCACACATGACACAAGAAACAGAGAGTGGGCCACACATGACACAAGAAACAGAGAGTGGGCCACACATGACACAAGAAACAGAGAGTAGACACAAGAAACAGAGAGTAAACACAAACGATAGAAGCAAAAAATAGTCAACAAAAATTACAGAAAAAAACTTTAAGCACAAATGAAACAGGACACACAGATAACCGATTAAAAAAAATTGAAAATATATAAGTCTGGCAAATATCAGGGGAAACAGTGTAGAGAGAAATATAGGTAATGGGTAACTCAATTCTTACGGGCAACATAATAGAAAAAATGATAGAGTAACAGAAGACACTAAAGGTAGGGTAATCAGTAGATGTAAATGATAGAGGAAACAAATGTAGAGGAATGATAGAAGAAACAGAGTACAAACAAATGAGAGACGTAACAGAGACTAGAAACAAATGACAAGAGAAACAGAGAATACATACAAATAACAAAGGGAACAGAATTGACGCAAGTGACAGAGGAAACAGAGAGTAGACAAAAATGACAGAAAAAGAGAGTACGTACAAATGACACAAACAAGCATTAAACACAAAGAACAAGAAACAAACAGACACAAATGACGCAAGAAACAAACAGACAAAAATGACACAAGAAACAAACAGACAAAATGACACAAGAAACAAACAGACAAAATGACACAAGAAAAAACAAAAAAAGACACAAATGAAAGAAACAAACAAAAAATGACACAAGAAACAAACAGACAAAAAAATGACACAAGAAACAAACAGACAAAAATGACACAAGAAACAAACAGACAAAAATGACACAAGAAACAAACAGACAAAAATGACACAAGAAACAAACAGACAAAAATGACACAAGAAACAAACAGACAAAAATGACACAAGAAACAAACAGACAAAAATGACACAAGAAACAAACAGACAAAAATGACGTATGAAAAATTCACAAATGACGCAAGAAATAGTCACAAATGATGCAACAGACAGACACAAATGACGCAAGAAACAAATATTAGGCACAAATGACGCAAGAAACAAACAAATGACAAAAATTACGCAAGAAACAAACATAAGACACAAATGGTGCAATAACCAACGCAGATGACACAAACAGATATTTGACAGAGTTGACAACAGATATATGACACATATGACAAGAAAAACAAGAAGCATTAATCAAAAGAAAGAAACATATATTAAACAAAAATATCAAGAAAGAAAATTTTGAAACTGTAGAAAATAACATAGGAAAAAGAGTAGAAAAATGAGAGAAGAAACAGAGAGTAGCCAGAAATGACAGAAACAGCGTCGACACAAATGACAGAAGAAATGGTGGACACATAAATCTAAAAAAAGAAGCAGACATTAGACACAAATCACAAGAAAACTCTAGTGTGTACCGTTACTTTCTTGAAAGGAAACGGATTGTGATTGCAGAATCAGAAGACAAAATGACTGAAAAATATCGTAATGAGGGAGGAAAACGAGGGCACATACATGACAAAGGATACCGAAGACAAAAAAGACAGTCGAGACATTGGCACCAAACAAAAATAAGTGATGAAACACGGCAGTATATACAAAAACCGAATAGCTCAGAAGTGACAAATGAGTGAAGAAAGAAGTCATTAGAGACAAAAATCAGAGGAAAGATGGATGTCGATACAAATGACAGAAGAAACAGTAGACAGTTTAGAGAGGAAAGAGAAACTACACAGAAATGCCAGAAGAAAAGTGAGTAGACGCAAATAAGAGAAGAAATAGAGCATCCATAAATGAAAGCAGAATCAGTGTAGAGACACATAACAGAAGAGCAACGTCAAACGACAGAAAAAAACTGAGTACAAGCAAAACGACAGAAGAGAGAGAAGAAATAGAGAGTACACAAAAATTACAGGAAAAATGAACGCAGAGTCGACACAAATGAGAGAATAAACAGAGAGTACACACAAATAACAGGAGAAAGAAAGTACACACAGCTTATAAGAGAAAGAGGGGACACACAAATTACAGGAGAAAGAGAGGACAAACAAATGAATGGAGAACGAAAGGTCACACAAATGACGACAAAAATAAACATTAGGTACAAATGCCACAAGAAACAAAGATTAGACAGAAATTACCAGAAAAACGAGAATCAAAAAACTAGAAAGAATCAAACATTAGACACAAATCACAAAAAGGAAACAAACATTAGACACAAATCACAAAAAGGAAACAAACATTAGACACAAATCACAAAAAGGAAATAAACATTAGACGCAACTCACAAGATGCAAACAAACATTAGACGCAACTCACAAGAAGAAGACAAACATTAAACGCAACTCACAAGAAGAAGACAAACATTAAACGCAACTCACAAGAAGCAGACAAACATTAGACACAAATCTCAAGAAGCAAACAAACTTTAGACACAAATAACAAACATTAGACACAAATCACAAAAAAGGACACTCTAGCATGTGATGTTTCTTTCTTAAAAGGAAACAGGATAATGTTTGCAAAATCAGTAGATAAAAATGAATGAGGAAAATAGTAATAGACACAAATGATGGCGGAAATGTGGATACGCAAATGACAAAGGATACCGAACACAAAAATGATAAAAGAAACATTGCACTAATCACGAATGACATATGAAACAGCAGTAGATGCAAAAAACCGGGAAGTAGTACAGAAGACAAAAATTACAGAAGAAAGAAGTTACTAAAGTAAAGATTGTTATAAAAGAAACGACAAATGAAATAGTGGACACAGTTGACAGGAATCAGTAGAGATAAATTACACACACATCAGTAGATGCATATTATGGAGGAAACCTTAGACACAAATGACTGCGGCTCACGTGTCAGAAGAGACAGAGTAGAATCAAATGCCGTAAGAAACATAATTATCACAAAAAACGCAAGAAACAAAGAGTCGATAGAAAAACATAGTAATGACACATGACAGACGAGACAGATACAAAGACACACAGATGTCAGACGAGACAGATACAAAGACACACACGTGTCGCACGAGACAGATACAAAGACACACACGTGTCGCACGAGACAGATACAAAGACACACACATGTCGCACGAGACAGATACAAAGGCACACACATGTCGCACGAGACAGATACAAAGACACACATGTCGCACGAGACGGATACAAAGACACACACATGTCGCACGAGACGGATACGAGAGACGCATACACGTCAGACCAGACAGATACGGGAGACATATGTTTGAGGAAATAGATAGAAGAGACTAATATCAAGAGGAAGCCGATTGGAGAGAAAAATATCAGAAGTAATAAATAGGAAAAAAATATGTCACAGGAAACATACAATACACAAATGACAAAGGAAACTGTAGTCACAAATAACGAGGGAATCACTAGATACTAAAGTTGTGGGAAACACTAGGCGCAAATGATGGGCGGAATCACTAGGCGCAAATGATGGGCGGAATCACTAGGCGCAAATGATGAGTGGAATCACTAGGCGCAAATGATGGGTGGAATCACTAAAGGGCAAATGATGGGTGGAATCACTAAGCGCAAATGATGGATGGAATCACTAGGCGCAAATGATGGGCGAATCACTAGGCGCAAATGATGGGCGGAATCATTAGGTGCAAATGATTGGTGGAATCACTAGGCGCAAATGATTGGTGGAATCACTAGGCGCAAATGATGGGCGGAATCACTAGGCGCAAATGATGGGTGGAATCACTAGGCGCAAATGATGGGGGGAATCACTAGGCAAAAATGATATAGGAAAGAGAGTAGAAAAATGATAGAATAAACTGAGTAACCACAATTTACAGAATAAACGGACTAACACAAATGATTAAAGAAAAAAAGAGTAGACTCTCATGACACAAGTAGCAGAGAGTAGACACTCATGACACAAGAGGCATAGAGTAGACACTCATGACACAAGAGGCAGAGAGTAGACACTCATGACACAAGAGGCATAGAGTAGACACTCATGACACAAGAGGCAGAGAGTAGACACCAAAATGAAACAATCGAAACAAATAACAGAAACAATGAATATTAGACAGAAGTGACAGAAAATAATTTAGGCACAGGGTAGGCACAATTGACACGAGACACGGGGTAGGCACAAGGGACACGAGACACAAGTGACACAGAGTAAAAAATTGTATAGGAAAAAGTGTAGACTATGAGAGAAGAAACAGAACACACAAATATGACTGAAGAAACAGAGTACGCACACAAATGACAAAAGAAACATAGTGCACACTTATGACGGATAAACAAAAATTAGACACAAATGACACAATAAACAAACATTAGACACAAATGACTCGATAAACAAGCATTACACACAAATGACACGATAAACAAGCAAAGACGTTTGAAGATACAAATGACAGATAGTAGACACCGTTGACAAAAGGACCATTATACACAATCGACAGAGTGACAATTAGACACAGTAGATAGACGGTAGTAAACAGGAATTTGTAGACATAAATGACACACTAGATACACATTATACTGGAAACCCTAGATGGCTTTTGACATGTATCTTATCGACCCTCATAAAGGTTTCTACAGCCGTAGTATATCGAGAATTTCATCTATGTTGGTGATACAAATTATTAAAAAACAGTGAGATTTTTTTAAAAATTTGTATGATTAGATTGTTTATCTCAATGCTGTTTTTTTTGTTTTTTAATGTGTGCGGCTATTTTTAACTTGTAATCATTCTTGACATCTAAATAAGAATAAATGTAAAGTGAAAATATTCGTGATTTTGTAATATTTTGCCTTTAAAATGTCGAATTCGACTCCATCACGTAAAAAGAGAAATTTATCTGAAGAAATACGTGTGTTTCAAAATAATGTGGGAATTACAGTACTTTGTAACACTGTTAATGGAAAGATAAACTCTTTGATTTGCACCCACTGCATGAATATAATGTGAAAAGGCATAATGAAACAAACCATCGATCTTATGATAAATATGAAGGAAATATTCCCGTTTCAAAATTGATGGAATTCAAGGTTAAATTAACACAGCAACAGAGTTGCTTTACAAAAAGTCATAAAGGCAAGGTTAGTTCTGTTATTGCAAGCTTTGACCTCTACAAAATGCGCGCCATCAGTGGAAGATCTTTCAGTAAAGGAGATTTCATAAAGCGACATCTTGTAAGACAGCTGAAATCGTAAGTCCAGAGAAGTCACACTTATTTCTAGACATTTTATTAAGCAGGAACACTGTTGCTGAATGGATTGATGAAATAGAAGGTGATTTGAGGTGGCAGTTAAAGAATTTATCATCATGTTTTGAACATATTTATATTACAATGAATGAGACTGTTGAAATAACTGGAATAGCACAGGTCGCTGTTTTCATCAGGGCCTGTGACAATGAATTTCAAATTTATGAAGAACTAATTGAACTGGTTCCAATGCATCATACTACTACAAGCCAGGACATTTTTGAGAAAGTTGAACTGCTTCTCCATGTGTATGGCCTTGATTTGAGTAAATTTGTGTGTTTATCTACTGAAGGTGCTGCCAATATGGTTGGGAGACATAATGCTGCCAAGTTACAAAATTAGAAAACATATATCCAGATTCAACATTCATGAATTTCAATGAAATAATTCATCAACAAAACTTATGCTCTAAGATTTTAAAATTAGATCATATGTTGAGTTTTGACATAAAAATAATGAACTATATCAGAGGTCGTTCTCGGTATCACCGTTAGTTTAGCTAGTTATTGGAATGCGTGAATAATCAGTTCACAAGTGTCCTATTCTACACAGAATTTCGATGGATTCATGTCACAAAATACCGAAAATATTTTTTTTATTGCCACACGAAATTGTTATGTTTTTGGAGATGAAGGTTCAAGGCAGAGATGAATTGAAAGTTAAAAGCTAGCTCCAAGATCTAGCTTTTTCAGTGTGTCCAATTAAGTTACGTTAATTTGAAATTACAAGGTAACAATAAGCTCATCACTCAGTTATATGATGCTATCAAGTGTTTCATTGTGGATTTAGCTTTACTGAAGTCACAATTGTCACATGAAACCGTGATTTAATTCCCTATGTGCAAGCAGTTGAAAAATGCCAACACTGAGTCTGTACCTATCTTTGATAAGTACAACAATTACTTGGAATTGTTGTCAAAGGAATTTCAGCGAAGATTTTGTGGTTTTTCATCTTGTGAATATCGGTTTGCATTAATCTCAGCACTATTCAATTTTGATGCTGCTCAGGCAGAGGAGAGTCCTTAGTTGGAACTACTGGAAATGCAGACAGACTCAATACTCAAGAGAAAGTATTTAGAAACAGGGGGCCACGGAATTTTTTCATACCTTCCTCAGAAATTTAAAAACTTCAGAAAGTTTACCACAAGGATTATGGCGATTTTCGGTTCCGCATATGTCTGTGAGAAGGCATTTTCGTTCATGAAAGACACAAAACATTTCACAGAACCAGATTAACTTTTGACATCTCTGATCAAAGTGGAATCTACCCAGACATTCCAACAAGATATATCCAGAATAGTTTGTCTAAAGCGATGTCAATAATCAGGACAACATAAAAATAATTAAATTGTACTACCTTCTATTGTAAGTATTTTATATTTAAAGGTTAGTTACAACTAGCTGTGATTAATGTAAGACTGTAAGCAGGTGCGGCCCACGAGGCTGCAGATATGGCCAACACAGTCTTCCATATAAGGTGTTTGGCATGCCTGCCCTAGACACAAATGACAGACGTATCACTAGAAGCGGATGTCAGATGAAACCGTATAAGTAGATGACAGAGGAAATGGCACAAAGGAATGATAGAGGAGGCATGCGTGTCAGAAGAGACAGAGTAGACAAAAATGCCAGAAAAAAAAAAAACAGAATTTCCACACAAACGACGCAAAAATCAACAGATATTAAATACGCAAGTAAGATTAGAGAGGTAGGGAACACGCATGGCAGAGTAGAAAAGACACGAGACGCGCATGGCAGAGTAGACAAACACGAGAGGCGCACGGCAGAGTAGACAGACACGAGAGGCGCACGGCAGAGTAGACAGACACGAGACGCGCAGGGCAGAGTAGACAGACACGAGCAGGGCAGAGTAGACAGACACGAGACGCGCACGGCAGAGTAGACAGACACGAGAGGCGCACGGCAGAGTAGACAGACACGAGAGGCGCACGGCAGAGTAGACAGACACGAGACACACAGGTAAGAGGAAATAGATAGAAGAGACAAATATCACGAGGAAAACGATATTAGAGAAAAAATTCAGAAGTACCTCATAGGAAACAAATATGTCACAGGAAAAATACAATACACAAATGACAGAGAAAACTGTAAGACAAAAATAATGGGGGGAGGGAAATCAGTATTCGGAAATGATATAGAAAAGAGAGTAGAAAATTAACAGGAGAAAAAAAGAGTAGCCACAACTGAGACAAGAAACGAAGTAGACACAAATGACAAAAAACTATATGCAAAAAGGTTTGGAGAAACTGAGAGTATACAAAAAAGACAGGAGAAGCTGAGATTATACACAAAAGAAAGGAGAAACGCATAGTATGCACAAATGACAGGAGAAACGCAGAGTATGCACAAATGAAAAGAGAAACAGAGTACAATGTTAATAAAAAAATGAAAAAGTTTCAGTAATGAAAAAGAAAACGGAGAGTATACAAAATGAAAAAGAAAAAAATAACAAAATTGACACAAAAAAATGAAAAATGACAGGAGAAATGGAGAATACAACAAATGAAAAGAGAAACAGAGTACATACAAATGACAGGAGAGAAATGGAGAGTACAAATAAAATGACAGAGAGAAAAGAAGAGTAACACAAATGACAGGATTAAAAATTGAAGAGTTTACAAAATAAAAAAAATGCAGAGAAAAGCAAAGAAATATACACAAATGAAAAAGAGAAATGAGAGTATATTTTCAAAATGAAAAAAAGTATCTTTTGCAAAAATGAAAAAAGAAATAATATTTTATAGACATGTTGATGACAAAAAGAAACAAAATTTTTAATAAAGTACAAAAATGAAAGAAGAAATGGAGAGTACACAAATGAAAGAGAAATTTTTCAGAGTAAAAAAATGAAAAATGAAATGCAAGATACAAAATGATTACAGCAAATTTTTTTACACACGTTAAACAGGATAATAAAAAATATCAAGAAAAAATTTACACAAATGAAAAAGAAATGGAGAGTACACACAAATGAAAATTGAAACAGAGTAATTACACAAATGAAAAAACACAAATGCAAGTTTTTCTAATGACAAAGAGAAACGGAGAGTACACAAAATGACAGAGAGAAATGGAGAGTACACACAAATTGAAAAGAGAAACGGAGAGTACACACAAATGAAAAAGAAATGGAGAGTATACACAAATGAAAAAAATGAAAAGAGAGTATAATGGATTGAAAAAGAAGAAATGGAGAGTAACTACACAAATTTGCTGAAGAAAAGAGTATAACAAAAATGAAAAGAGAAATGGAGATTATAAAAATGAAAAGAGAAATGGAGAGTAATACTTAAATTACAGGAGAAATGGAGATTATATTAAATGAAAAAGAATTATGGAGAAAATTTTTATGAAACACAGAAATATTATTTACACACAAAATGAAATAAGAAACAAAAATTTCAAATGAAAATGAAATGGAGAGAAAAATCATAAAATGAAATGGATAATGGATCAATTTTCTTTAAAATGGATAATTCAGAAATGATTCAAAGAGAAAACACACAAATGAAAATCTAGAAATGGAGAGTAAACACAAATGAAAAGAGAAACGAGAAAACACAAAATGAAAAAGAGAAACGGAGATTACACAAAATGAAAAGAAAACAGAGAGTACACACAAATGAAAAAGAAAAATTGTATACACAAATGAAAAGAGAAACAAAGTACACACAAATGACGGCAGAAAAAAGATCATATACACAAATGAAAAGAGAAATGCAGAGTATTTAAAAATGTTGGCAGAAACGGAGAATATACACAAATGAAAAGAGAAACGGAGATTATACAAAATGAAAAAAGAAACAAAATGGATCAGTACACAAAATGAAAAGAGAAATGAGAATTTACAAATGAAAAGAGAAATTCAGAGTACACAATTGAAAAGAGAAACACTTTGTACACAAAAATGACAGAAAACGGAGAGTACACAAAATGAAAAGAGAAATGGAGATTTTACAAAATGAAAGGAGAAATGCCAAAATACACACAAAATGAAAGGTAAGGAAACGGAGAATACTCAAAATGACCAGAAATTCAAGAGTATAATAAATGAAAAGAAAAACTGAGAGTACACAAAAATGAAAAGAGAAACGGAGAGTACACACAAATGACAAGAGAAATTCTTAGTATACACAAAAGAAAAGAGAGTACACAGATGAAAAAGTCAAACAAATGACAAGAAATGAAAAGCAGAGTACACAAAAATGAAAGGAGAAATTGAGAATACACAAAATGACAGGTGAAACGGAGAATACTCACAAATGACAGGTTAAACAGAGATTACACACAAATGACAGGGAAACAGAGTACACACAAATGACAGGAGAAATGCAGAGTACACAAAAATGACAGGAGAAACACAGAGTACACAAAAATGACCGAAAAATTTGAGATTACATTCAAATGACAGAGAAACAGAGTACACACAAATGATTTAAGAGAAAAGAGAAATTTCACACAAATGAAAAGAGAAATGAAGAAATACACAAATGAAAAGAAAACGAGAGTATACGCACAAATGAAAAGAAAAAACACATAAATTTAGATTTCATTTTATTCATCCTTAGTATAAGGAAATGATGGAGAAATGGAGAATACAAGAATGAATTTAGAAATGCAGAGAATACTAATACTCAAAATGACAGGTGTATAAACATGAAATAAATACAAATTTGATTGAAATATAGAAATTATAGAAAAATGTACAAAATGACAGAGGAAAATGCAGAAATTTGCAAGAATGACAGGAGAAATTACATTTACATCAATGACAGGAGAAAATAAAGAAATATACAAATGACAGAGAAATGGAGAGTACACACAAATGAAAAGAAAAATATAGAGTATTCATAAATGACAGGAGAAATTAGAGTAACACAAATGAAAAGAGAAACGGGGGAGAAAATGAAAAGAGAAATTTTATTCAAAAATGAAATTAGAAAATGGAGAGTACATTATAAAATGAAAAGAAAACGAGAGTACAACTAATGAATTAGAAATGAAGAGTAAACACAAATGAGGTCAGAAAACAATGAGTACAAAATGATAAGAAATGAGAGTAAAAATGACAGCAGAAATGGAGAGTACAAACAAATGATGACAGAAAATGAAACAAATGAACAGAAGAAATTTGAAACACATCTATGACAGAAGAAATGGAGAGTACATAAAATGAACAGCAGAAATGAAAGTACACACAAATGAAAGCAGAAACTGGGAGTACACACAAATGACAGAAGAAATGGAGAGTAAACAAATGAAAAACAAAACAGAGTACACACAAATGAAAGGGAATAATCTTGAGTACACAAATGATTAAAAAAAAGGATTAGAACACACAAATGAAAGAAGAAACAGAGATTACACAAAATGACAGGAGAAATGCAGAGTACACATTAAATGACAGAAAAAATGGAGAGAACACACAAAATGACAGAAGAAACGGAGAGAACACAAAATGACAGGAGAAAGTTTGATGTAAACAAATGACAAATGGAAATCTACACAAAAATGATGCCTTAGAAATGGAGAGTATATACAAATGATAGAAGAAATATTAGAGGTATATGAATGATTTGGAGAAATGGAGATAAAATTTACACAAATGACAGAGAAAAAACGGAGAGTATACACAAATGAAAAGAGAAAACGAAGAGTATACACAAATGAAAAGAGAAATGGAGAGTATACAAATGAAAAGAAAAATGGAGAGTACACACAAATGAAAGAAAAATGGAGAGAGTATACAAATGAAAAGAAAAATGGAGATTATACACAAATGAAAGGGAGAAAATGGAAAATGACAGAAGAAATGGAGAGTACACATGAATAATAGAAGAAATGAGTACACATAAAATGATAGGGAGAAATGGAGAGTAACATACAAATGATAGAAGAAATGGAGAGAATACACAAATGAAAAAGAGAAATGGAGAATACAAAATGACAAGAAATGGAGAGAATATACAATGAGAAGAAATGGAGAGTACACGCAATGACAGGAGAAAACGGAGAGTGTTACAAATGACAGAAGAAATGGAGAGAACACAAAATGACAGAAGAAATGGAGAGAACTACACAAATGACAGGAGTAAAATGGAGAGTACACACAAATGAAAAGAGAAACGGAGAGTACACACAAATGAAAAGAGAAACGGAGAGTACACACAAATGAAAAGAGAAACGGAGAGTACACACAAATGAAAAGAGAAACGGAGAGTATACACAAATGAAAAGAAAAACGGAGAGTACACAAAAATGAAAGGAGAAACGGAGAGTACACACAAACGAAAAAGAAAAACGGAAAGTATACAAAACGAAAAGAGAAAAAAGAGTATACACAAATGACAGATGAAAATGGGAGTACACACGCAAATGACAGAAGAAATGCAGAGTACACAAAATGATAGGAGAAACGCAGTGTACACATAAATGACAGGAGAAAACGCAGGTACACACAAAATGACAGGAGAAACGCAGAGTACACACAAATGACAGAAGAAACGGAGAGAATACACAAATGAAAAGAAAACGGAGATACACAAAATGAAAAGAAAATGGAGAGAAATAAATGACAGGAAATGGAATGTCAAATGAAAGGGGAGAAATACACAAATGACAGAAGAAACGGAGAGTACACACAAATGACAGAAGAAATGGAGAGTACACACAAATGACAGGAAAAAGGAGAGTACACACAAAAATGACAGGAAAATGGAGAGTACACAAAATGAAAGGAGAAAGGCAGAGTACACAAAATGACAAGAGAAACGGAGAGTATACACAAATGAAAAGAGAAACGGAGAGTACACACAAATGACAAGGAGAAACGGAGAGTACACACAAATGACTGAAGAAACGGAGAGTATACACAAAATGAAAGGAGAAATGGAGAAAATACACAAATGACGACAGAAAAGAGAATACACAAATGACAAGAGAAACGGAGAGTACACAAAATGACAGCACAAACGGAGAGTACACACAAATGACAAGAGAAACGGGAGAGTACACACAAATGACAAAGAGAAACGAGAGTACACATAAATGACAGAGAAACGGAGAGTACACACAAATGACAGGAGAAACAGAGTACACACAAATGACAGGAGAAACAGAGTTGACACAAATGACAAATAAAAAATTGTACACAAAATGACAAAAGAAACAGAACACAGAAACGATACAAAAATGTAATCATGAACAAAATGAAAAAGAAAACAAAGTATTGGTACAAATGAAAAGAAAATGGATATTAGGCACAAATGATGGAAGAAAAAGGAGATTACACACAAATGAAAGGAGAAACGGAGAGTACACAAAATGACAGGAGAAACGGAGAGTACACACAAATGACAGGAGAAAAGGAGAGTACACCTGAATGACAGGAGAAATGAAACACGAATGAGAGGAGATACACAAATGACAGAAAAAATGAGAGTACACACAAATGACACAAAGGAGGTACACAAATGACGGCAGAAACAGGAGAGTACACACAAATGACAGGACAAACAGAGAACACACAAATGACAAGAGAAACAGAGTACACAAAATGACAGGAGAAACGCAGAGTACACACAAATGACAGGAGAAACGCAGAGTACACACAAAATGACAGGAGAAACAGAGTACACAAAATGACAGGAGAAACGGAGAGTACACACAAATGACAAAGAAACGTGGAGAGTATACACAAATGAAAAAGAAAAATGAGAGTTATACACAAAATGAAAAGAAAAACGGAGATTATAAACAAATGAAAAGAAAAATGGAGAAATACACAAATGACAGGAGAAATGCAGAGTATACGAATGACAGAAGAAACAGAGAAATACACACAAAATGACTGAAAAAAAAGAGAACAGACAAATGACCGAAGAAACGGAGAGTACACAAATGACAGAGAGAAATGCAGAGTACACAAAATGAATAGAGAAATAAAAAGTATACACAAATGAAAAGAGAAACGGAGAGTACACACAAATGAAAAGAGAAACGGAGAGTATACACAAATGAAAAGAGAAACGGAGAGTACACACAAATGACGGCAGAAACGGAGAGTACACACAAATGACAGCAGAAACGGAGAGTACACACAAATGACAGGAGAAACGGAGAGTACACACAAATGACAGGAGAAACGGAGAGTACACACAAATGTTTCTAGAAACAGAGAGAACACAAAATGACAGGAGAAACAGAGTACACACAAAATGACAAATAAAACCTTGTAGAGTAAATGACAAAAGACACAGAGAAACAGAAACGATAAAAACAATCATGAGACAAAATGATACATGTAACAAAAAATGGAGACAAATGACACATGAAACAAATAAAGAGCACAAATGATGGAAGAAAATGGAGAGTACACACAAATGAAAGAAGAAACAGAAGTACACACAATGACAGAAGAAACGGAGAGTATACACAAATGAAAAGAAGAAAACGGAGATTATACAAAAATGAAAGAAGAAACGGAGAGTACACACAAATGACAGGAAGAAACGCAGAGTACACACAACTGACAGGAGAAAAAGGAGAGTAACACAAATGACAGGAGAAAAGAGAATATACACAAATGATAAGAGAAATTGAGAGAACACACAAATGACAGCAGAAACCGAGAGTACACACAAATGACAGCAGAAACGGAGAGTACACACAAATGACAGGAGAAACGGAGAGTACACACAAATGACAGGAGAAACGGAGAGTACACACAAATGACAGGAGAAACGCAGAGTACACACAAATGACAGAAGAAACGGAGAGTACACACAAATGACAGGAGAAACAGAGTACACACAAAAAACAGAAGAAACTGAGAGTACACACAAATGAAAAGAGAAACAGAGAAACACACAAATGAAAAGAAAAAAACGGAGAGTATACACAAATGAAAAGAAAAAAACGGAGATTATAAACAAAATGAAAGAAAAAAAATGAGATTATACACAAATGAAAGGAGAAACGGAGTACACAAATGACAGAAGAAAACGGAGAATACACACAAATGACAGAAGAAACGGAGAGTACACACAAATGACAGGAGAAATGGAGAGTACAGGCAAATGACAGGAGAAACAAATGACAGGAGAAACATAGAGTACACACAAAATGACAGGAGAAACGCAGAGTACACAAAATGACAGGAGAAACGGAGAGTACACAAAATGAAAGAAGAAACGAAGAGTATACACAAATGAAAAAAAAAACGGAAGTACACAAATGAAAGAAGAAACGGAGATTATACAAAATGAAAGAAGAAAACGGAGAACACACAAATGACAGAATAAATGGAGAGTACACAAAATGACAGAAGAAACAGAGAGTATACACAAATGACAGATGAAATGGAGAGTACACACAAATGATAGGAGAAACGCAGAGTACACACAAATGACAGGAGAAACGCAGAGTACACACAAATGACAGGAGAAAACTGCAGAGTACACACAAAATGACAGTAGAAATGCAGAGTACACAAAATGACAGGGAGAAATGGAGAGTACACAAATGACAGGAGAAATGCAAATTACACTGACAGGAGAAACGGAGAGTATACACAAATGAAAGAAGAAACGGAGAGTATACACAAATGAAAAGATAAACGGAGAGTTTAAATAAATGAAAAGAGAAACGGAGAGTACACAAAATGACAGAAAAACGGAGAGAACACACAAATGAAAGGAGAAACGGAGAGTACACACAAATGACAGAAGAAACTGTGAGTACACACAAATGACAGAAGAAACAAAATGAGAAGAAATGGACAAATGACCGAAGAAACGCAGAGTACACAAAATGACAGGAGAAACGCAGAGTACACACAATAGACAGGAGAAATGGAGAGAACACACAAATGACAGGAGAAATGGAGAGTACACAAAATGACAGAAGAAACGCAGAGTACACACAAATGACAGGAGAAACGGAGAGTACACAAAATGACAGAAGAAATGGAGAGTACACACAAATGACAGAAGAAAACGGAGAGTATACTCAAATGACAGGAGAAACAAGAGTATACACAAATGACAGGAGAAACAGTACACACAAATGAAAGGAGAAACACAGAGTATACACAAATGAAAGAAGAAACGGAGAGTAATACACAAAATGAAAAGAGAAAACGGAGAGTACACACAAATGACAGAAAAATTCAGAGTACACACAAATGACAGGTGAAACACAGAGAACACACAAAATGACAGGAGAAACAGAGTACACAAATGACAGGAGAAACGCAGAGTACACACAAATGACAGGAGAAACGGAGAGTACACACAAATGACAGAAGAAACGGAGAGTACACACAAATGACAGAAGAAACGGAGAGTACACACAAATGACAGAAGAAACGGAGAGTACACACAAATGACAGAAGAAACGGAGAGTACACACAAATGAAAAGAGTAACTGAAAGTACACACAAATGACAGAAGAAACGGAGAGAACACACAAATGACAGAAGAAACGGAGAGAACACACAAATGACAGAAGAAACGGAGAGTATACTCAAATGACAGGAGAAATGTAGAGTACACAAATGACAGAAGAAACGGAGAGTACACACAAAATGAAAATGGAGAGAACAAATGAAAAGAAACGGAGAGAACACACAAATGATAGAAGAAACGGAGAGTACACACAAATGAAAAGAGTAACTGCTAGTATACACAAATGAAAGAAGAAACGGAGAGAACACACAAATGACAGAAGAAACGGAGAGTATACTCAAATGACAGGAGAAACGCAGAGTACACACGAACGACAGAAGAAACGGAGAGAACACACAAATGACAGAAGAAACGGAGAGTACACACAAATGACAGAAGAAACGGAGAGTACACACAAATGACAGGAGAAACGGAGAGTACACACAAATGACAGAAGCAACGGAGAGAACACACAAACGACAGAAGAAACGGAGAGTACACACAAATGACAGAAGAAACGGAGAGTATACACAAATGACAGATGAAAAGCGAGTACAGACAATGTCAGGAGAAACGCAGAGTACACACAAATGACAGGAGAAACGCAGAGTACACACAAATGACAGGAGAAACGCAGAGTACACACAAATGACAGGAGAAACGCAGAGTACACACAAATGACAGGAGAAACGCAGAGTACACACAAATGACAGGAGAAACGCAGAGTACACACAAATGAAAAGAAAAACGGAGATTATAAACAAATGAAAAGATAAACGGAGATTATAAACAAATGAAAAGATAAACGGAGATTATAAACAAATGAAAAGAAAAACGGAGATTATAAACAAATGAAAAAAAAAACGGAGATTATAAACAAATGAAAAGAAAAACGGAGATTATACACAAATGAAAGGAGAAACGGAGAGTACAAACGAATGACAGAAGAAACGGAGAGTACACACAAATGACAGAAGAAACGGAGAGTACACACAAATGACAGAAAAAACTGAGAGTACACACAAATGACTGGAGAAACAGAAAAAACGGAGGAGAAATGCAGAGTACACAAATGACTGGAGAAACGCAGATTACACACAAATGACAGGAGAAACGCAGAGTACACACAAATGACAGGAGAAACGCAGAGTACACAAAATGACAGGAGAAATGAAACGCAGAGAAATGCACACAAAAATGACAGGAGAAACGCAGAGTACACACAAATGACGGGAGAAACGGAGAGTACACACAAATGACGGCAGAAACGGTGAGTATACACAAATGACAGCAGAGTAAAATGAAAAAGAGAAAATGACGTACAAAAATGAAAAGAGAAAACGGAGATTATACACAAAATGAAAATAGAACACAGATTAAAATGCACAGTACAAAAATGAAAAGAGAAACGGAGAGTACACACAAATGACAGGAGAAATTCAGAGTATACACAAATGACAGGTGAAACGCAGAGTACACACAAATGAGAGGAGAAACGCAGAGTACACACAAATGACAGGAGAAACGCAGAGTACACACAAATGACAGGAGAAACGCAGAGTACACACAAATGACAGGAGAAACGCAGAGTACACACAAATGACAGGAGAAACGCAGAATACACACAAATGAAAAGAGAAACGGAGAGTATACTCAAATGAAAAGAGAAACAGAGAGTATACTCAAATGAAAAGAGAAACAGAGAGTATACACAAATGAAAAGAAAAACGGAGAGTATACACAAATGAAAAGAGAAACTGAGAGTATACACAAATGAAAAGAGAAACGCAGAGTTCACACAAATGTCGGCAGAATCGCAGACTACACACAAATGACGGCAGAAACGCAGAGTACACACAAATGACAGGAGAAACGGAGAGTACACACAAATGACAGGAGAAACGGAGAGTATACACAAATGACAGGAGAAACAGTGAGCAGCCACAAATTACAAATAAAACCTTGTACACTCAAATGACAAAAGAATCAGGTTACACAGAAACGATACAAAACCAATCATGAGACACAAATTGTACATGTAACAAAACTTGGGTACAAATGACACATGAAACCAATTTTAGGTACAAATGATGGAAGAAGCAACTATTTCTCAGAAACTATAAGAATATACAATAGACACGAATCACAAGAAATTAAAAACAGACTCAAATCACAAATAACATGGGTAACGGGTATACACAAATGACAGGGGTAGCGGGTACACACAACTGACCGTGGTAACGGCTACACACAATTGACAGGGCAAGGGTTAGACACAAATTGCAAATGAAGGAGAAAACACAAATGTCATTTGAACTAATAGACAGAAATGACAGGGTGGGTAGAAATAGAAGCAAATGACAGGGGTAAGGGGTAGACGCAAGTGATAGTACGAAAGGGGTAGACGCAAGTGATATGGGAATGGGGTAGGCTCAAATGATATGGGAAAGGGGTAGGCTCAAATGATATGGGAATGGGGTAGGCTCAAATGACAGGGGAAGGCATAGAAGCAAGTGACAGGCGAAGAGGTAGAAGAAAATGACATTTCAAATAATTGAGAGAAATGTCAGGGTAGATGTCGGGGTAAATAACAGGGGAAGACGTAGACGCAAATGACAGAGGGAAGGGGGAGACGCAAATGACAGGGGGAAGGGGGAGACGCAAATGACAGGAGGAAGGAGTAGACGCAAATGACAGGGGTAAGAAGTAGACGCAAATGACAGGGGTAAGAAGTAGACGCAAATGACGGGGGAAGAGGTAGACGCAAATGACATTTCAAATAATTGAGAGAAATGTCAGGTAGATGTCGGGGCAAATAACAGGGGAAGATGTAGACGCAAATGACAGAGGGAAGTGGTAGACACAAATGACAGAGGGAAGTGGTAGACACAAATGACAGAGGGAAGTGGTAGACACAAATGACAGAGGGAAGTGGTAGACACAAATGACATTTGAAATAATAGACAGAAATGACAGGGTAGAAATAGAGGCAAATGACAGAGCCAAGAAGTAGACGCAAATGATGGGTGAAGAGGTAGACACAAATGAAAAGGGAGGCGGTAGACACAAATGAAAAGGGAAGCGGTAGACACAAATGACATTTCAAATAATTGAGAGAAATGTCAGGTAGATGTAGACGCAAATAACAGGGGAAGAGGTAGAAGCAAATGACAGATGCTAATGATATGGGAAAGAGGTAGAAGCAAATGACAGATGAAATAATATACACAAATGACAGGGGAAGACGTAGACGCAAATGACAGCGAGAAGGGTTAGACGCAAATGAGAGAGAGAAGGGTTAGACGCAAATGAGAGAGAGAAGGGTTAGACGCAAATGAGAGGGAGAAGGGTTAGACACAAAGGAGGAGTTGTTTTATATGATAGAATTTACAAAATCTGCGTTTGGAAGCGAGGATTATCAGAAAAAACTGTTAAGGAGACTAATCTTATTGGAAACAGTTTCAAAACTGAAATGACACAAGTGGCGAGTTTAGCAGACAAAAACGAAAAACAAAAAAAATAGCATTAATACCAAAGGAATCGTCTAAAGAGAAGAATGTGTCAGAAAGAAAGAAATTAGAAGAAAGAAGTGACAAAGGAATTGGTCTAGAAGAACACAAGGAAAACAGCCAGACAAAAACAACAAGGAATCGATTTAGAAGTCAAAATGACAGAGTCGATTGCAAATACATGGGGGGCAGGAAAGGTTTGTGAAGAGGAAATGACAACGGAAACAATTACTTAAGAGAGATAACAAATATATGCTTTTAGAAGACACTGATGACAATTAGAACAGTTATGTAATCAAAAGTGAAATTAGTATCTTGAAAATCATACATCTGGAAAGCAACATCGTATCAAATGAAACGGTTTATAAGACACAAATCCCAAAGATAACAATTGAGAAGACACAAATATAAAGGGAACTATTTACTAGTAATATATTTAAAAGACACGTATGAAAATGTGACATGTAATAAGCAATGACTAAAGTATGTGTGTAAAATGCAAAAGTTCTGACGGAAACATTGTACTAGATTACACCATTACGAAGAAAACACATTACCGGACGTAAAGAAACGAGCAATCGATTTAGAAGGTAAAATGCAAAACAGAACAATTTAGTCCACATAAATGACAAGGGAAACCGTTTGATGGACATAAATAACAAACGCATATAGTGAGTAATCACAAAAAAAAGTAAGGAAAAGATGTAGAAGACAAAAGTTACAATGGGCCATGCCTGGTAGTCAGATATGGCAAAAGAAACAATGGGATATTTGCAACAGACAAACAAAGTAGGGTTGGATTCTCAAATAGATTCAGTAGTCGCAAATGTGAAAGGAAAATAAAGTTAGTCAATGACCAGTGAGATATTGTAGTAGAGACAAGAAGACATATGAAACATTGCATATACAAAAGGAGGTCTGTGTTGTAAAATCAGATTTAAACAGAAATTATTTGGTAACTACTAATATATACGTAAATGTTTCAGTAGGCAGAAATATATCCAGTTAGTATAACAATACAAAATTAAATTGTATAATAGACAAATAGGAAACGTTCAAGTAGGCAACGGTCGAAGGGAAACGATCGAGAAAGCCAACGGTCGAAGGGAAACGATCGAGAAAGCCAACAGTCGAAGGGAAACGTTCGAGTAGGCAATTGTCGAAGGGAAACGTTCGTGCAGGCAACGGTCTTGATGGTAAAAGTCGAAGGAAACTTTGTAGAATACGTTCGAAGGAAACGTTCTAGAGAGCAAAGTTTAAAGGGAACGTTTTTGAAGGTAAAAATCGAAGGAAACGACTTGAAAGAAAAAAAAGTATTTACACTTCCAAATTAACAAAGTAAGGTGTGTAGTAGGCATTAATGAAAAAAACAAAACTCATAGTAATAATAACAAACTTTTTAGTTGTCTCACCATATAATGTAAATGGTTTAACATTAAATATAACAAAGTAAACTTTGTAGAGGAAACAAATGACAACGGAAACGGTTGTTTTGTCGATGCAAATAGCAAAGTAGTAATGAGAAATAACTAGACAATCAACATTATTTCATATAATTATGAAAGAGGCGGTTTTGGATCTCCAAATTAGTGTGATAGGATTAAATGAAAGAATCAATGTAGTATCTATAAAGGGGCGTGGAATCGCAGTAGTATGCACTTATGAGACAGAAAACACTCTTGTAGACACGAATAAGAAGAAAGACTTTTTCTACACACAACAATAACAAGAGAAAAATATTTTTGTAATGATAAGGAAAAGTACATTAGAGAAAAGGAATTGCATTTTAACCAAGAACAATCCATGTATCTCACAAGAATTGTTGATCGATTTGTTTTTTTGTTTTTTTTACATCGTTATTTAGGCCCAGAAGATCTTTCATATTGTAAGGATTTTGGAGATAGATAATGATTTAGTGATACAAGTCTTACTAATTAACCTATATCTACGGGGAGAAGATATAAATTCATACCTTTCTCAACGGTATTTGAGGGTAAGTGAATATAACGAAACCAACTGGAATTTGAACTCGGCTCTCCGATAAACAATTCTGAGCCATTATTCATTACAACACACGCACATCCTGTTTGCAGCACATGTTATTCCCAAGCGCTTCGATACCAAGTTACTGATCAGGATTGACATTGCTTAACGTCAATGATCGTGCGGGAACAAAAGCTCCACCTTGATGTGATCCTAAGACTAGCACACAAAGAATGACGTACAGTAGAAACAAATGACGAACGAAAAATTGTACTAAACATAAAAGACGCTTAGAATAATTTAGTAATAAAATATGTAGTGGAAATTGTTTCGAAAACACGTATTTTAACAGAACCTGTTTAATCGTTACAAATTAAAAAAAAACCCGGTATTGTTGTTAGAAATAACAAAGACAGTAGTGTACGAATGAAAAGTTATGACAATTAAATCCAAGATGGAGACAAATGAAATAAATGCCAATGGTATATAGCATGGGGCAAATAAAAGAACGGAAAATATAAATAATTCATGGAAAAGAACAAAATATCTAAAACTAAAATCTCGGGACGGTGAACATAAATCATGTATTACAAAAGTAAATAGCCAAATACAAATAAATAATAGTACCAAAAATAAACAAAAGCACAAGTAATAGATGAAGAATGTAAACAAAAAGCACACAGATAAGAAATATAAAATATAATAAGCTTGGCAATGTCAGAAATAAGAAATAAATTGCAAACAATACGCCAACAAATCAATGAACATTTCTACAAGACAATAGAGACATGGAACGGGCATGGAAACAGGCGATTATAAATACAATAGATAGAAAACAAACGAATGTGTTAAAGTAGACTAAATACAAAAACAAATTCAATATTAAAACAGAACTAAGAAGGCAATGATCAATAAATGCATCTACATCGAAATAAAAATGACGACAAAGAATATATACTGTGAATTATGAAAAAGTGCTCAAATAATGCAAAGCGATATAAAATATAAAAAAGAACACATAACTCCATGCCGCGGATTAGGAACAAGCGATACACTAGGTTCAAAGATGAAAAATAATCGATAATTAGAAATCATTAAAAAATTCAAACAATAAACAACGGAATTATTTGATAGGAAATCGATGAATTCAACTAACAAGTAAGACAAGGAAAAAATCGAAAATAAATGCAACGAATAATTAGTCAGCATGTAAATAACATAATCGATGGACTGTGAATGAAAACTTTCGAAAATATATTCATTTCTATTTTCATAACTGATTTGAAAACTTGCTGAAATGGTTTACGTTGACTCATGCCATTAACTCTCGTTCAGCCGACTTTTCATTCCACAATACGGAGTGAGATTTGCAATATGTGAGGAAACCACCTGTGGCATAATCGGTCAACTTTTTGGTATTTTTATAAACTTGTAAGCGTGTCCGTGTGGTTAGAACGTTTGCATTAGACATGTTCGATTTATCAGAAGTCGATCGCAGCGTGAGTCACATTTGAAAAGTACTTAAAAATCACACAACGGGTGAAATCGTGTCGACAGAACTCTTCTGGACCCCTCAATGTTTGTGCCTAACTCATCAGGATCAAAAAGGTGAGTATACTGGCCTGATTCAAACTGTTGATCCCGCTAGATGGTGCACACTTATAATGAAAGTATAGCTAAATTCTACTCAGAATTTTTGTTGTATTCCACTTAGGTGGCCTCTATAAATGAACAGAAAAATGCTTGAACAGGCGTCTGCAATTTGGATTGGCTAACTGATTCGGTAGTTATCGAAAACAAGGCATTATATAATTTACAGACGGCGAAAACCACCATCGAAAAAGTAGATTACAAAAACACTTACAGGTAATCCAATGAAACCACTGAGGAAATGTGAGTTACACACGCCATGAGTTAATTATTTTCCTGGGCAAATGAGAAATAATTATTTTCTTGGTGAGATAATTTATTTTCGAGTAAATATTTCGAACGTGATTTTAAATATCTGAATAAAAACCAAATGAAAATCATTTCGGTTTTAAAAATATAAGAAATTTATTTCTTAATTCATTGTTACACACAGAATGTGAACAATATATGCGGGTTTTGTCTTGCGTAATAAAGTTGTTGAGGATATACTTTCAATAATTTATAAGAATTAACACAACTTGATATTACGTCATATGTATTAAGGAATAAAATAACTATTACAAAATGACGAACGAAAAGAGATAATGAACCACACAGAAACGCAGACCAACAAAAATAAAAGCATGCAAGAGATAAATAACATTCCGGGTGGCTGATAAAGTAATGATGAAATAATGAGTGAACAAAAATTAAGGGACGGACAAACAACAGTTGGTACATAAATACTTAATTGTTATCAGGAATAAAGAGACAATAAACACAATGAATTTGTTCTTATTATTTAAATATGCCGTGTAGCTTCAGGATGTGTGTAACCATTGCTTTTCCAAAAATTCCAGTTTCTCTTACGATTATCGAAGTTAAGCAATGTAAACCTTAATCACTAACTTCGTAGGTAACCGCCTGGGAATAGTAGGTACTGAGGGGGTGGAATATGGAGAGAGGAATTCTAATTCCAGTTGGGCTCATCATATTCACTTACGCGCAGATACCCATGGGAAAGTTACGAATCAACTTCCCACCAGCTATGGGTTAATTCACAGGAATTGTACTGTATAAATAATTATCTCAAAAATATTCTTACAATTTAAATTTATTTTCTGACTTAAAATAGCCTGCAAACGTTTGATAGCCATAAAACATATAGCAATGAATCAATACCTCACCTCCCAATTCCTTTTCTTTCTTTCATCCATTTTGACAAGAGGGTTATTCGCTGCGTTCATCAGTCCCCCGTTGTTTTCCATACACACACTTAAAATCATCTTTCTTATGACGATTTCAATAGTCTTCTGATTCTAAGTACGAGTTTTCTTCTTGTTTCCATTTCTATAAAACTGTCAATTTCCCTAATGATCCATACATGATATACTCAGTAACTTTCTGTAGCTACGGATCATTGTTTCCCTCAAGTTTCTATTTAATCTGTTAGGACATTTTCCAGTATTCGATTCCATATAAGAGGATTTGTATAACAATGCAATTCAGCATTCATTTGATTCGTAAGATTCTTATATAGTTATTCCGTTTTTTTATCCTTATAATTTTAACTTAAAGGAATATGTATCTGCATACGTATGAGAAACGAAATACATTAACTATTAAAAAAGAATGGACATGAGTATCAATGAGTAACGGAGATCAGTCATGAACAATTTACATCGGCAACACGAAAAGCGAACAGGATAATAAAAACAATTCCTTAATAAATATGAACAATATATATCAATGTTTGCCAATCAAGTTATAAAAATGGCAATAAACGCAAACGAGGAACGATGAAAGGTGGGTAGATATTTAATGAAAATAAATTGGAGCCAGGAAATTAAGACAAATGTACACATTCCTTAAAAACAGCAACTGGAAGAAAGAAATAGGTAAAAGAAAGTCTAAATAAGCTTCACGTGAGATGATCAAACGCAAAGGGTGCATATCCAGTAAGAATGTATAAATACAGTAAAGAAATGTTCACATTAGCAAAATACATTTAGAAATAAAATATATTCAGTTTAGACGGAAACAAAAGATAAATGAGAAATGTTTTTCGCGAAAGATGGCCATTACACGTAACCATTAATGAAGGTAATGGAAGTGGCAGTTAGTAAATAAAAATAATATAAGAATGAATCGACATGGGACCAAAATACAATATTTGGAATGCAGTTAGGAAAATCCTAAAACAACACACACAAATACAAATGAAGATTAAGAGAATAACGCTTTAAACACAATTGTGCACGCCTAACGAAACACAAGGGTTTGATTAAGAAA